CTGACTTTTCTGCCCCCTTTCCCCAAATCCCACAATATTAATGCTCATTTCTGGGTGCATATTTGCCTCCTTATAGACTTTTTAAAATCTGCAAGAGCCACTCTAGCCCTTAAAAGAATCCATGCAAGACTCATGGTCCCTGCTAACTTACGAAGGTTACCAAGACATTTACTGTACATTGCTAAAACTTTTTAAATGTTTGTATTTTTTAACTGTTTACCTTTAGCTCTGAATTCCCAGTGCTTTTAACAGTTGTAATTTTTTACCATCAACACAATGCTGTAATATAGTCTCAATCTTAATGCCAGTTCAATACAGCTATTGTCTGAATTTTCAATAAGACACTGCTATATCCCCACTACACTTAAACAATTCCTCCTACTTTGCTTTTTTTCAGGTCTTCTAAGCCTAATATTTCCTCTTTCTTTTTTTAATAACCCTTATTCTTCCTATTTATTTTTCTAAAAAGCCTTGGATTATTAGAACTGCTAATTTTTTTCAAAGAAATTCACTATTTCCCCCTTTATTATCCTTTTTATTTTCCTAACAGTAAATTTAGTGCTCCCAGGAGGTAAGTGTGTCATGTTCCCAGAGGCTCAGATGCAGGAGATAAAACAGGTTTTTCCTTCTATTTTGCTTTTTTTCCCTCTTAGTCATGATAAAATCGGTTTTTTAGGGTTTCTTGCTACAAGTGTCACTCCTGAAAGCATGTAAGATTCTTTGCTGAAAACAAGGAATCAGTGTTTTCAGGCTGGAACTATGAAAACTTAGCCCTTTGCTGTTTTTACATTTCAAATACTTGCTCATATTTTCACTTCAAATTGCAATATTTTTTCTCTCAAAAATTCACAAAATAATTTTTTATCATGTTATTCCACCATATCTAGTTTGAACAGAATTTAACGTGCTGCTTTTAGTATTTGAGGTCTCTCAAAAGTCCATTATAAAGTAATGAGTTTTAGAAATGGGACTGCAATGACTAGTAGACAGAGTAGCCATTATATATTCAACAATGGGTTACACATAGCCTTGAACATAAAAAAATTATTTTCTTGAGACAAATGTTTCCCAGGACCTTAAGCTTAGCCACCTGGATAGCAACCAGAGGCAAGCAGGACAATTTAATATCTTATGCACCTCAAAAGTGCTAAACAGTGCTTTACAATATGAGAAGATTTATGATCAAGGGACAATCATATGACTCAAAGCCTTCAGTTCAGTATGGTGAAAAAAAGAAAGGACTCCAATATAGTTCTGTGGCATCAGTTTAATCTTCCAAATCGAATCTGTATTGTGACTCCTGCATTCCTTTACTTAAAAAAAATATGCATGCTACTGTGGAGGTTGTTTATTTAAGAGCTGCCAAGCTGATTTATAGGAATTATCTTTAAGAAGTTTCAGGGGTATAGCTTGTACCCGTGTTGGTTTAGGGCAGGGCCACTGCCGCCTCTGTGCTGTCCAGTGCGTGAGCTCCGGGCAGGCAGTAGCAGCAAACACCGCCCAGCATGGCAAGCAGGGGGCGGGGGGGCCAGGAGTGCAGCTGCTGCCACCGTGCACAGCCCCAATGGGCGAGCCCGGAGCCGACGTGGGGCCCAGGCTGGCAGCAGGGGTGGGCTACAAGTTGGTGCTGAGCACGGGGAAAACTGGCCCCTCCCTCACCCGCATGGGGCTGCCTGTGCCTGCTCAGGACAGCCCTGTGCAGGCTACGAGTGGCTGCAGCAGGGAGCGCAGGCCATGGGGCAGGCAAGGGGCCACTTTTCCCTGCACTCTGCACCAGCTCCTTCCCTGCCAGCGAGCAGGGGGTTGGGGCTGTGTGCTGTCCCCCACCTGTACCATGGGGCTGGGGGGGCACTGGGAGTGAGTGGTTGTGGGAGCACAGAGCCTGCACCCATGTCCTGAGGCCAGCACCAGCAGGGCCCAGAGCAGGGTGGCAGGAGTACAGGGGGCCCAACTGGCAGGGGCTCTATGGAGCTGGACCAGCTCCCCCCTCTCCCTGCTGGTGCAGCCCAGCCCAGCTCCACAGACCCCTGCCAGCCTTTGCCCTGCTCTGGGCCCCACCAGTGCGGACCCTGGGACATTGGTCCCAAGACATTGGCACATCAGTCCCAAGTTCATGAACAGGGGGCAGGGTACCTGTCAAGGGGCGGGGCTACCCATGCGACCCTCAACAGCTTGTCAAAACTGGGTAGTGACCCTCGCCTGAAATACTTGCCCGCTCTGGTCTAGGGACATAGGCACTGGCAGACAAGTTTCTTTGTGTAAATCTGGTATCTTTTATTAGACCAACTCAAATACTTGGAGACTTCTTTAAGAAGTTTGTCATTTCACTTGAGAATTTTCAGCTGTTCTTTTTGGAGACTTATTTATAATCTGCAGTTGATGATTTTTTCCCTCCTGTTCATGGGGGAGCTGCTCCCATCAACGCCTTCTCCTACAGCTTCACCACAGGAAGAAATACATCCTGTAGCTGGGAAAGCAGAGACGGTATCTAGGAATAAGTTAACACTAAGGTCAAAGAGCTTTGTTGATTAAACCTTTTTGTTTTCTGGGATCAACATTATGAATATAATATAGCCTGAGCCAAAGATGCTAAGCACCAGTTCTGAAGGATGAAGCCATCACTAACTATGTTTCTCTTCTTGGGTTTGTGCAGAACAGCTAATTGTACCATGATATATTCCTTATTTCTTGTTCCTTAAAACCAACCAGGCCAAGGACTTTATTATTTAGTCTATTATTGATAACTGAGCTTCTGAAAATATTTGTTGATGTACACATGTACCTCAATCAGTGACAGTACTTTAAAAACATTATAATCAAGGAATTCCTACCAGAAGAGGCATTTTTAATCATTTGAGATGCTGCATATGATTACAGTTGGAAAGACTGACAGATTTCTAGCATGACTGTGACAGTATCCAAAGCGATGTGTCAGATGATAATCTTGAGACTCTGCATGACTATAAGATGAAGCAATCTACAGACTTGCTTCTTATAGCTGTCTGACCTATTTCTTATGCTTCAATCTGTGAGCTATGTATTTTCAAATCTGTTGCTACTTTACACACTTCCCTGGTATCCATTTACCATTTTCTTTCCATGAGTCTCCTCAGTCTTAGAACAGTCTCTTCTCTTCCTTAACTGATTAATCATTCTTCCTACCCTAAACTCCAAACCCATAACATTTCAGTAGTTTTTCCAACATATTTTTCCAATTTTGGTAACAGTCTTCCTCTAATACAATAATCAGTTCAGTACACAATATTCTGATTCAGATGTGACTAGTGTTGAAATTTAGCATCAGCACAACTGGCACAATTCACATTCCAAATCTCTATATTATATTTGCTCTTTGCTTGTTTTTCATCAAACAGACTGGTTTTACTGCATTACTCACTATTACCCCAATGCCTTTTGTTCCCTGGATTTCTTTTAAATCTAATCCAAAATATGTCATAAATAAGAGGCCAAGTCAAGCAAACAATAATTTTGGTCCAAAAACACTGTAAAATCTATACAATCAGCCACAGCAGAAAGGGGCAAATTGTTACATTGTTTAGTTGAACAGGGGCGTTTGAATGCTCATTGCCTAATCTTATATAAACCTCCACAGTTCTGATTATCACTATTCATCTGCATCCAGTTAGCATTTTAAACACCAGAAAATTTGATGATGATGAAGAACTAATAGACTATTTAACAGAGGGTTTCTTTTAACACTGAACAGAGTCTATGGTATCTCAAGACCTCTTCAAGCATGCACACATTGAAGAGAACAGATCCTTTTGCTTTGCTATGTGTAGGGAATGTAGTGTCCACCATAACCAGGTGTTCTGTCTTGGTATGTTATTACTGCACAGTGTCTGAACTGATTAACTGCAACCCCATTTGGACAGCATTAGGGTGTATTTGAAGGAAAACATAAATCTATTCAGGAAAGCTTGTACAAGCATACAGAACTATCCATGCTTACACACTGGTTCAGTTACAAATGGTTCCCCTTAAATTACTATTTTTTATTTTTTCTACAACAAAGTGCTGCAAAAAATTATCACTAATTGATAGCAGACTCTTAATATCAGTAAAAAAAAGGAAAACAGAAAGCATATTACAACAAAGTAAAAAATAAAACACCACACTAAGATTATTCATGTTCATATCTGTACCAATAATAACACAAGATGATATCACACTTAAGCAACGCTTGCCTAATTAACTATTGTGATATACCAAGTTGGGTTGATATTAAGGCCCACCCAAGACAGTGTCGGAACATGTTAATACTCTACATTCTATACTTGTCAATCAAATTATAGTTCTATGTTAATGTCTTTCTCCTGCACTTCAAAGAAATGACTGGAATAATGCCAGTTTCTCTTATGGACTACTTCCCTCTCTTTCTTCTTCCTAGCACATATCCTGTGCTAAAAGCAGGGTCCTCAACTAACAAAATGCATGATTGTCTTTTGACACTCTAGAACATCAGAATATCTTCAGCTGTAGATCAGTAATTATGAAACTTGCTTCCATGGGAGATCAGAGAGTGAATGCTAATCCTAGCAGTACTGCCTGGTCTACATAAAATGAAATAAACCATTTCAAGACTTTCAAATGGCTGAAGAACATGTTGCATCCACTGCTGTAACTAATCAATGCTAATCTAGTTCAAATTGTACCAGTTTAATGGCAGTGTGCCTGAAGAAAACGAAGGCAAACTGAAACAATGTCCTATGCTACTGGTCCCTGTGCACTGGTGGCCTTAAAAAGTAATTGTAGAATATTCTGCTTTCAAGAGAAGAAATATAAATTGTGGGATAGATATCCAGAGCTGTTAGACAGACATCTATTAGAACAGCTCAAGTGAAGGTGAGAGAGAGAAAGAAGGTTCCACTGTTAAAAGGCTAAGTGATGTAGCGTTATTACTGTACTTTATTACTTTGATACAACATTAATGAGTGCAGTAGTTACACTAGAAAAGTTTTAGCACTTTTAGAACCCACCTCATTGGTAACTGATAAAACTGACAGTGCAGAATCACAGTACTTCAGTGCATTGCTTTTCTGGCCAAGTTTGTTATAGCACTAAGAAGGAAAAAAGAAGTGTTAAAATAATTAGACAGCTGCCATACTAACAACAGAATATATGAATTGTTTTTTTAACAAGCAAATCATTTTAACTACCTTTGCCAAATAGACATAATTATATTTGGAATATCCAGGATGCATTTCTTCAGCCTGGGTAATGAAATACAGGAAACAAGAGAGACAGAAAAATAGCACAGTAAGATTTGTGTGGTTAACATACAGTTTTCAATAATGCACAACGCTTCCTCAAAGACTAGGCTGGGGTTTTTTTTGCTGTCTAAATCATCTCCAACTGTATGCTTCATTATCCTTTAAGACTTGCTTAACACATATATGCCTGAAATTATGATGGTTAATATGCAAAATCTGGAAAAAAGCAGGACTTTGAGATTCTTCTTAAGTCACTGACCCTAGCTCCCTTAAAATCCTGCACACCACCAAAAAGTTTGTCATTCTAGGTACAAAGTCAACTGTATTCCCTTATTTTATCATGAGATGAGAGATAATAATGAATTATGCTTTAATTAATAATCCTCTTGTCCCTTAATGACTTATGGTCAACAGAGTATTTTTAATACATGTTCCTGAAATATAAACCAAAAATATTCACCCTTTTTAAACATACACAAGACATGCAAATTAGAATGATGATTGTACACTTTACAAAATCTCTCTTAAGCAATGGGCTATTTCAGTCAATAACCGCAACGTAGGAACTAAGAATTTACTGATGATGATATACTTATGCCCCATGAGTTACATACTTTGCCACCAAAAGCAGCATCATCAGCCTAAGATGAGAAAAATAATTTTGGTGCAGAAGATCTACTTTACAGCATCAATGACAGAGACCCTGTGCCAAAGCCCACTAAAGTCAATGGGAGTCTTTCTAATGACTTCAGTGGGCTTTCAAATCAAGCCGTAAAAAGATAAAAAATTGTTATGCAACAGAAGATTTTTAAAAAAATCTATTTTTAAACAGAGGAGGGACATGAAAAAGCAAGTCTGATACTGTAGAAAAATGTGAGAAACTGTTCAGCTGTCCACAATGTTCATATTGATAAACATCTATACCTTTGAATTAAGTTGAATAACAAGAAAATCTGTGCGTGCACTGTTCTTGAAACTGTACAATTAACACAATTGCATTTTAAGTGCTTATTTTAGAGCCAGGATCAATTCCACTTATTAATTATCTTAGTACAATCCTATTCTACCCCACTTGAGTCCCTGAAAATCCATTAAGGTAAAAGGCAGGTAGGTGACCCTCTTCCTTGTCACTTTTCGTGACTTAGTCTTAGGGCTACTTTTTTCTCAATCCAAGACTAGGGCTAAAATGAATAGGTGTTTTAAGAGTAGATGCATTAATTGTTTTTCAGGTACTTGAGCAGGGTGAAACAGTGTCACACACTTTAGTGCCACTTTAATTTCTAATAGGTGGAATAAGATTCAAGCCAAAGCAACTTGTTTACATCAGGCAGGTAAATGCTTTGGCTGTTTCACCCTGCTCAAGTACCTGAAAAACAATTAATGCATCTACTCTTATAACACCTATTATAACACCTATTCATTTTAGCCCTAGTCTTGGATTGAGAAAAAAGTAGCCCTAAGACTAAGTCACAAAAAGTGGCAAGGAAGAGGGTCACCTACCTGCCTTTTATCTTAATGGATTTTCAGGGACTTGTGTGGAGTAGAATAGGATTGTACTAATCCAAACATTGCCCCCTTAGAGCATCTAAACTTTCTATTCTCAGGTTTCAGTTGGATGCTAAAAGGGGCAATGTCTCTGATTTTTCCACTTGAAGAACATCAACGTTTTCCCCACATACGCTATTCTCCCCTCCCTCCCCTCCCCCCGCAAAAAGATTAAAACTCAGAATCATTACTAATTTTGCACTACAGATGTGACATTCAGTCTGATAGCAACTAATCTGGCAAGATGTTGTAGTGTAGTTAAAAGAGAATAGGGAATAACTGGGATTGGTCATCCTATGTCATTTAATTTTAAAAAAGAAAAAAAGAAGGAAAATCTTTTATTACAGGAATTTGTAGTATTTAGAGAAGCCTTGAATGTATAACTGTCGAACATCATTTGTTGAGCAAATCTCTTGAAAACAGTTACAGAGATCATCTGAAAAACAACTGTTCAAGAAAACTCTTGGATAGGATCTACCTTTAAGAAATTCTGCAAGGCTTCCTCTATTGTTGAAGTTGGTGGAGTTCCAAAAAGAGCTGCAGCTACTTTTTTCTCAATCCAAGACAACTGAGATACCTATGATAAAAGCAAAGACAGATAATACACTCAAAACCTACTTTTCAGTTCTGAATGCAAAATGCTGCCTTCTATTGCTGTATTCTCATCAGGGCTGTAGCATGGAAAAAACACAACCTGTTTATTCTTTACTCCTCCCCCATCCTCTCCTACCTTCTTAGGCTTGTTCATGGAGTGCAAGGTGTGTTGCGGATCTTAGTTCTCTAAACTGGTGGCAGAGTTTGCTGCTGCCAGAAGGTTGGGGGGAAGCTTTCACCCCATTTTTTTTCTGCCAAAGCCCATGTCCAGTGGGCAACAAAAAGAGCTGAATTCTGCAGCAAAAAATGGGGGTCAGGTCTCTCACCTCCACCCAGCAGCAAACTCCACTGCTGCTCTACAAAACTACAATCCCCTGAACACTATGCTCTGTGATGCTTATTGTCCACACCTAAGTTACTGCTTCCTAGAGTTGAAAAGTGCGAGCAGAGTGAGGCAAGGCAGCAGGGCACACAATAGCAAAGTAAGCTGCGGTGAGTAACCCCGAGGTGAGGCACTCCACCTCCCTGTCTTTCTGGAGAAGGACACTTTAAGGCAACTTCCAGGGTACATGACCCACTCACCCACCCCACATTACACTACTGATTCTTATACAGTTGATTATGCAAAAGAATATATAAAGGAGTCTTAATAAAAGACTTTTGGTTCACTACTCAAAGTATCATCTATTATGCAGGGACTGATGACACACAACCTCACCAGATTTTAAAAGTATAATCCATTTTATGGTAAAAAATAGTGCTGTACATTCATCACAAGGAACAGTGCAAAATACCAACTGAGCTGCTATGAGCTTATCACAGTGTAGGAAGTTTTAAGTGCAAACATCAAAAAACTAAATACATTTTTAACACTGAAGGGTTAACTCTTTTCTCTGTTAAGGTTTCTGAAAGGATAGATAAGACACTGCATTATGGTAACCCACCTAGTGAATGATTCTGAACATTATTATTGGTTATTTGTTTGTTTATTTATTCAATGTATATGCCATCCTTCTCAGCAAAGGCTGAGGGTAGCTTACAATAAGAAAACAGAATAACTTCAGTGAAAAGAGGACCAAAACAGTTCAAAACAGAACTAGAATAACAAGGTAAAACAAAGCTTCTCCACACCCCTGCCACCCAAACTATATCTCACCCTAGTTTTATTTAGTGAATGCCTACCCAAGTAGGATATCTTTTAGTAGACCAACTCAAATAGTTGGAAAAATTCTTCTTTGCAAGCTTTTGTGTACAAATACCCTTTGTCAGGCTGAGGAAGCATCTGAGTTGGTCTGTGCTCTTCCTGGATGAAATGAATTGTAAAGAAGCCAGAGGCTGGTATGCATGCAAGAAAGGCAGTCATGGAGATGTAAATTGAGGAGTCAGTGGGTGAGAGACAGGTTGGGGGGAGAAGGGGAATGAATGTAGCTGGTAAATAGTGGAGGGGTACCTGGGGAGTCAGATGTTAGGCAGGTTATAATGTGCCATAAATCCAATGTCTATATTTAGTCCTAGTGGGCCTCAAGAGGGATGGAGTTCCAGAGCTGAGGAGCAATTGCAAAGAACAGCCTTCCATATGTTTTTTGACAAGCAGACTTTGTGTACTGATGGTAACTGAATGTGCCTGGTAAGCTATTGGGAGCCAGTTCAGACTCTGGAGCACTGGAGTTATGTGTTTCTGACGACTCATGCCCATCAAGGTTGATGGTAGTTTTACTAAAAGCTTAGATTCTGGATTTGTATAAGATAATTTGGATAGGGAAGATCCTGCCTCAGACAGGGAGCTGGTCTAGATGACCTAGAGAGGTCCCTTCCAGCCCTACTTTCCTATGATGATTTCTATTTCTGCACCAGCTTCTGGACAGTCTTCAAGGGCAGCCCTAAGAAGAATACACTGCAGTAAACTAGCCTTGAGGTTACGAAGGCATGGATGATTATGGCTGGATCAGAATCTGAAAGAAAAGGTTGCAGGCTTCTCACCAGGTGGAGATGGTGAAAGACACTCCTAGCCCTTTCCCTCCAAGTCACATGGCCTGTCCCCCGACCATCACTTGTGTCTCATCAGCTGCAGTTGGATCACCTGCATCCGGTTCCAACTGCAGCCACTGGGAAAGAACTGGGACTGCTGGGCCAGGGTCCGAAAAGAAGGAGATATAAGAGCTGGGTGTCATTAGCCTCATATACACATTGCACAGAAGGGGCAGTAAGATAATGCTCTGGGGAACCCCACAGAAAAGGTCCCAAAAGGATGACAAACACTTATCCATCACTACCCTCGGGGACCTCCCTGCTAAGAAAGAGCAGAACCATTATCATCCTCTAGAGTGATGCCCATTAGAAGGCAGCTATTGTCATTATGCACGTTGCTGGTGCACCTCTATGAAAGGTGCATCTTTTCTTTTCCTGTGGTGGTGAGACACTGATATTGTTACACAGGTGTCCAGTTTAATGCTGACAAATAGTGCATGCCAGTGAGCCTGTCACTTGTCAGGATGGCAGTCTGACATAAAGGGGCTTTCTGAAATTGTCTTCATTATGGCTTCTCATTGTCTTTTACCACTTTTTCCTTTACCTATCTAGGCACATGCCTGAAGCCACAAGGGAATCCTGAGACTGAACGGGTTACTGGTATATTTTTAGTTCCACCATTTAGCACAATGAGTGAACAACGCCCCAGTCAAAGCAAGAACAGCACCAAAATGGCAACGAAGAGATGGAAAATGTGTTTGCTTAAATGAGATGAACCTTAAATTATTGGAGGAACCACTGCTTTTCTTTCAAGTGGAGGCTATCTGGTGCCTCTGTAGTGAAAATCAGAAACCTGCTCCTATACAGAAGGACTTCAACCCCAGCACCATATGCTTACTGAAATAGATTAGGCCTAACTCTACATTTGTATGAGGACTGAAGCACTACAGTTTCTTGGTAATTGCTGGCCTAACCTACATAAAGTGGGCAGACAAGAGAGACAAACAAAGTATAAAGCAATGTCAAAAAGTTGTATGAGAACCAGGATGTGAAAAATGAGCGGTGTCAGTAAGATCATGCACTTATGGAGAAAGTCCTACTGTAACCAAAGGCTTGGATATTTAAAAATGCTGCCTTGCTGCACTGCAGGTTGCTGATGGTGAATAAAAATAGCTAGACAGGGGGTGTGTCTAGCTATGTTGCTACTGCGCGCTGGTTACTCGGCATTTATTTAGTGCTTGCTTATACAAGAAAGATAATGAAAATAGCTATGGTTTATTTGGCTTGCTTATACAAGTACTAAACAAATGCGCAATAACCCAAGTTACTGCACAGTAGTCCCAGTGAATGCCTTTTAGATGATACTACAGTGCAGTAACCTAATAATACCGTGCGGTAGTATGTTGGCATGGGTTTTGCCACACGATGCTACTGCACAGTAGTATCAGGCTACTGCACAGTCAGTGCCTCATGTAGATGTGCCTAGGGAATGTAAAGCTTAATAACCTTGTGTGACAGGTGTACCTCTTCGGGGTCCGTCTACTGGTGACCCCACACACCTGTTATGGGCCAACCACCCGCCTTCTCACCTGCCATGCATTGTTGTTAATTAATTAGAATATGTTAATTAAGCGGGAGGCTGCTCATTTTACTGCCCTGATGCAAAGGGGGCACTATCTGTGGCTCCTTTGCTCCCCTACACCGCAGCCCAAGCCAGATGGTACTCACATAGTTTGGTCTGGGCCTTATTCTACTCTGGCCCCCTTGTCCTCCCTGGGCTCTCTGAGGCCCCGTCTCGCTGCCTCCGCCACCGGGGCTTCTCGCTGGGCAGGGAACTGCCAGCCTGGCCTCAGCTCTGGGGCTTAAATGTGAGCCAGGCCCCTTCCTGTCAGCTGACCTCTGGCAGGTGTGAGTCACCAGCTAACTCTGGTTGCCCTGGCAACCAGCAGCTGGGGCTCCTCACTCACTGCTAGGGATCTTTCCTAGCAGTTTCCCCTCTTTAAAAGGAGCAGGGCACTTAAGTGCTCCGCAACACCTTGATACTCCTATTCAGTTGCTCCCTAACCTTCATCAGAGCTTCAGTTTTCTTCTGCAGCAGTCAGCAATTATTCACAAAGTCTAGAAAAGCATGCAATTAAATTTATTGTAAAATATAAGAATCTATCCAGAAGTAAAGGTCATAAGAGATACCTAGCCACTGCCACTGACCACAGTTTTTCCATTTTTACTGAAGGCAAACCTTTCACAATTTCTTGCTGGAAGCTGTTACAAAATATATCTTTACACAGTATTAAGGTAGCCAGCACACAACAATTAAGTATACACAAACTATTTTCTTGCCTGGCTTCTACTTCTTTGGCCATGTAAAAATAGCACTGCTTGGAGAAAGCAAGCATCCTAGCCAAGTCTCAATGGTTGCCTGGCAAGGGCCAAATTGTTATTTGCTAAGTGTCGTCAGTAAGTCTTTCACTCAAAATCATTAAAATAATGTTTCACAGATAAAAAATATTAAGAAACCATAGTTATTTTCGTTATCTTTCTTAAATTTCCCACTCCAAAAGCCTCTTCAAAAGTCCTGTTTTTGAGAAAAATATTATTTGACAAGCTCGCTGTTCCCTGTTCATTAAAAAGCATGTTGCTTCACCCCTGTACAGCACAGTGCTAATTATGTGCTATAATGTGCAGCATGGGGGTTTATACATATAACTGCATGTCTACATATAAATTGACTCCTCACAGTACACTTTTCACTTGCGCTTTATTTTCTAAAAGGCATCAAGTGAAAGGTTGCATTGGGTTTTAAAATTAAGTGTCTCGCTCTCTTCAGAACGATCCACTGTTGGCATGCATTTTGTTTTCTTTGAAGAGAAAGAAGATTTTCTAGTATTTTTAGGTGCATCATACCCATATGGAGTGAGCTCATTGGCAGGGGAAGGAAGAAAAAAGGAAGGAAGGGAGATAATCTGCTTATATGGTACTTCTCTGGACCACCACCCAAAATTCCCTGGGTAGACA